GCTGAGACTGTAGATTGTATAAATGCACACCTTGATGTTTACACGCTGTTTCGTGAAATGAAGGATTTTTAGCAAAAATTACTGTCTTGAGAATTTAAATTATTTAGAAATACAATTTTATGCGAGTGATTCGGTCATGATTGTGTGCCCTACCCTGTTAAAGCTTATGTAAATAGAAACGATGCTCCATTCTTATGTCTGCATTACTTTAATCTAGAAATTGTAAAGTGAACCGGTCCAGAGATTGTTTGCATGCAGTAAACACTTGTAGCATTTTGTGACTGTACCGCAGGTTGTTTCAACAGTCAAGCACTCCTGTGTGCAAGGGCAGAACGTTGCAGTGAATGCAGGAGGATTCCCCTGTTTTCTCAAAGTCTCACCGTTTGGAGAACCATTTTCAGTGATCACTTTTGAACGTTGTCTTGCAAATTCTGCCGAGGGCAGGGGACGTCCTGCTGCGGGCAGGGCTTCCAGCTCCGGGGAGCTCCATGGAGCTGGACCGCGGGGAGGACTCGCTGCCCACAGGCTTCTCCGGCTGGCAGCCCCCGTTGGCCTCGTTGGTGTAACCGTCACCAGTCTGACCTGTACCAGGTGTCGGGTTCACATGGTTCCCTGCATGGACTCCGGTTCTACAGCAAGGAATTTGTACAATTACACTAAATTTGTATGGAATGCGTAGATTTGTCTTCCATCCACTTTACAGAGTATGATGATAGTTGTCTGTCTTTGTCAACATGATGAATGCTCATTTTGGGGCAGAGTGGAATGAAAAGAAATGTAGGAGTAATTCTACATTTATGAATGGAAAACACTTAATTGCTGCACATTTTGTTATGTATTTTTGCTATTGGTTGTGCTTGTAGCTTCAATACAGTAGCAGAGTTGTTTTCTGTATATTTGTAATTTTACTGCTGAATTGTTGACAGTGGGATATTTAAGCTGGCGTGGTAGTGTAACTACTTTGGCTGTCCATCTTCACATCCTTTTCTATGAGCATTAAGAGTGAAACGATTAAGTAATCTCAAAAATTCCCTGCAGGGAGCAACATAGCTTTATTTTGATTTTAAGATATGCTTTGCCTTCACTGTGAGTAAGTTTTTCTTATATGTAAAAGACATGTACCTTTTACCTCTTTCTTTTGTAACACAGAATATTATTATTCTTGGAGATACCATTAAAATAGATTTTTAAGCACCTGGCTACATATTTACTGAGCTATTACAGTGCAATTACAGTTGAATTAGAAGTACTCAGTGATTGCAGACGTGTCTCTTGTCGTGAGCTTGTAATAAACTGTTAGAGGGGGAAGAATTGGGGAGTGTTAATGGAGCATCCAGATGCCTGTGTCACCAGCTGCCTCTGTGTAGAGAAGCTTGAAGATGTGCTGGGGTATTTTAAACACGCTGCCTCCTCTAACACCCGCTGAGAACCCGTGTCTGAGTCCAGGAGCTATTTCCATGCTTAATGTTGGGTTTGTGGTTAAGGTCTTCATAGAATTAGGAACCTGCCTCTTAGTCATCCGAGGTGCTTAAGATGTCAGGTTGCATTTCTGTTTCCTTCCCAGATGATAGACTATTTGTATAACCCACAATTTATCTTTTGATTAAAGTCATCCATATTACTTCTTAGTTTTAAGCTTCCAAACAGTAGGAATCCAGGGAAAGGATAGAAGTGGAACAGAAAGACATCGTTTATTTCATAAATTACAAGCTAGTGTTGTTTCTGTGTGCTAAATAGAAGGTAAAGATGAATGAGAGCTGGACAGACATCACCATCCAGTGAAGTCCTTTGAGAGAAACTCATTATTTTACAAGAGCTGTGCTGCCTTCTGTACCAGGTAATATTCCTCCTTCTGATGAACTTTATATCTATTTAGAAATTGCTATTGTGTGTTTAATTATTACATATTTGTTATGTTTCAGGGTTCAGTCTATTTGTGTAACTTAATGAAGCTCATTTTCTCCCCCGTGACAGAGGGACATAGACATTCCTTTGGTGACAGCAGCTGTTGGGGTGTGCAGGAGCTCTCTGCTCTCAGTGTCTCGTGTGTAAGCACGAGGCTGGACGCATCCCCAGGCTCTGGAAGGAAGGTGCTGGCTGGTTGAATGCTTCTCTCTTTGCTAATGCTTCGTTAGCATGTTCTCAATGAAATTTCATCATTTGGCAGTGTGACTGGCTTTTTTTTTTTTTTTTTTTGCTAATTCAGAGTACAATTCTCAATACAGCTTTCAGAATACAGAATTTCTGAATGCAGAATTCAGAATACAGCTTTCAGAAGCTCGAACATCAGCTAGCATGAGACAGAGCCAAAGATGTTACTCACTTCAAGTTCTTTCTTACAGAAGAAAAAAACTTTTAAGCAAAGATTTCTAACTTCTGTAGTATTTTGTTTCCTGTACTTCCAATAGCGATTGAAAATGGATTGTTTTCCTCTAGAATTTCTTCCTCAGCGGCTGTGTTTTCTCATTCTGAGTGGGATGCTTACAGGTTAACTGAAAGAAACAGTTTGTGTGTTTTCATCACTAGGGATCTCTGCTTTTCCGGTGTGTCTTGCCTTATGTTTTTAAACCAAAAACGTGTTAGGAACGCTGAAGGAGATTCTCACTCTTTCTCGTCTAATGCATAAATTTATTTCCTAGCAGGAAAAGTCAGGGGAAGGAAGAAGCAGTTATTTTAGCTCAGTACAGACTAGCTGTTCACATCCTCACTTAGCAGCCTAAATTACTTTCTTTTTAATTTATGAAAGACTGAATAAATTATAAGTCTATTCAAGAACCTGAAGAGAACAGGTAGTAGCAGCAAAAGTGAAATGGAAATGCTTTCAATAAGTCTGTTTTAGTTTACTCAGAAACCAGAAGGGATTCTGGTTACCTTTGGGTGATTATTTGCTGGAATACCTACTGTCCTTGCTCTTAACAACAGCATAAGACACCGTGTTTTATATCCAGTGATATTTCAGGTCCTTTGCATTCTATCTATTGTGATAGCAACGCACTGCAGAGCTGAAAAGGTTTGGTAGAGGATTTATTTCTTCCCTTCTTTCCTCTTGGCTGAGTAAAGTTGGGTTTTTGGTTTCTATAGAGTGAGATTCATCCTCGATATATCAAATAGGAAAGCGAGGAGGTTGTGTGGTGCGGACCCCAGGAAGGAGGAGGCCTTGCCCCTAAGCCTTAGAATGCCGAAACACGCAGGGAATGTGTGGAGCAGGGTCCTTTCCAAAGACATTTCTGCAGGTTCCTTTACTCAGCCGTGTCTCCGGGCATTCCCTGCCTCCTCGAGCGTGGAGCCCGGCTGCTCCCGGGTGGATCCGATTCCTTTCCAAAAGCTCCATCCGAGCGGCCCTTTCTGTCCCTGAGCAGCAGCCAGGCGTTCCACCAAACTGCTGCGTGAGCTTTATGTTCATGTAATTACAAATCCTGCTAGTGAGAAACTAAAACTTTCATATCAGAAGATTTTCTTCATTAATTTCCCATTATCATCTTAAATAAGATGAAATTATCGCAGAGCAAAACCTTTCATTCAAAGAAAGAGTAAAAAGCATTCAGAGCAGCAGAATACCCCCAGAAGCACGTTGCGTTTGTTTTATTCTTGCACTGACCCTGATTTCTTTTGTTTTGATCAGATTTTGATGCAGTTGTTTGCTGCATTTGCTGTTTGCTATGAGGAGGGCACCGTTCAGGACCCTCATTCCACATGTGTGAGACAGTGCTGCGAAGCAATTACTCTGATTGCAGACCTGCTCAGACATACGAGAACTGGAAGCAGAAATAAATTGAATTTCCATCAGAGAGTATCTTTTAAAGTCCTTTAAATTAATCCTGAAAATGAAAATGAAACAAAATGAAAATGAGCATGCCTGCGTCCACCTAGTTGAGCATGGGTTTTTTTTAATTATCATTTCTTTATTTATTTACTCTCACTGTAGGGAAGGATGAGTTTCTGTTGTGGCTCCTGTTGCAGGGCAGGACTCGCAGGATTCGGGAACACCGTCATTTACGAAAACCTTTTGTTCTTTTTCTTTTTGATCAGGGCAGATCTGATGCGGCTCCTCCAGGTGCAGGGCAGCCTGGGAGTCAGTGCCCCAACCACTCACCAGGAGTCAGTGCATTTAAAACTAACGCTGAGAGAGAGGTTGGTTTAGACCATGCTCCCAGACTTCATATACTTTGCTGGAATGTCTGTTCTTCAAATACAGGTAACAGTGAGGAAGATGGTAATTAATACTTGCTTTTTTTTTTTTTTTTTTTAGGTTAGGGCTGGGTGTTCCGTTTTGAATTCATTTAAATAAAGAGTAGCTATGTTGACCTGTAGCGTTGCACCCTTTCTGCCACAGCTTGAGTTGCACCTAGTGTTTGCACCAAGGGAGGCTTTGCATTAATCAGCTGCATTTGCTAAACCTAGAAAACACTCTCGCTGCTGCTATTTTGATCTGAGAGCGTTGCACTGCTTTCAAAAGCATTTTTTGCAGCAAACTAAATCAAGTTGCAAGCAGCCCTTAGCTGTGTGCTGCTTGGAAAGCCGTGTTCAGTGTCCCTGCACCTGCCCAAAGGGTTAATGTTCCAGCTTGAGAAAGGCTCATCAGCCAGTGGAAAAACCTCCGCCACCCTCTGAAGGCCTTTGCCCTTCATATATGGGAAAGAAGAGCTTATTAAAAAAGTGACACTGGCATGTGCTCTTATATAAAGAGAAACCTGCAAAATGGCTAAGGATATAAAGCAGGTGAAAAGTAAGGGTAGGAAGTGATAAGGGTGACAAGGGCAAACATATTCTAGGGACACATGAGTAAGAAAATAAAGAGATCAAGTAAGGAATTTCTTTTTTTTCCTCCCATAACCGCAGCATGTGCTTTCAAAAGGACGATGACCCGAATTTACTGGTACTTGTAGGTTTTATTTTGAAAAGCGAATCCCCAGCAGCGTCCCGTGTGCGCTGGACCCGTGCACTGCGGGCAGGAGCGCTGCGCGCCGGCGCTGTCCCGCTCCCCCGGCCCGCTGCTCCCTTGCGGGAGTGCGCTCGGATTCCTGTTCCGAAGGAGAATCCGTGTTTCCCTGGCCCGGGATTCCAGCCCAAGGGCCAGCAGGATGCCAGCCCTCCCCTGCCGACGGCCTCCGCGTGGAGGGTTCCCTCCAGTGAAACCGTCGGCATCTCTTAAGTGGCTTTGACAGCAGTTTCTCTTGCACATAACAGAGATGCTAAATCCTTACTAGGATGAATAAATACAGGTTTGGCTTCTGAATGCAAAGCTATGTATCTCCATAATTTTTTGAATTTCGTTCAAGTTACAACTGTATAAATGAGACTGAAATTCTTCCTGTCACTGCTCAGCTGTATCAAATAGATTTTCATTTCACTGAAAATGAAAGAACTGGGAGAAAAACGCAGATGTGGTTCTTGAATTTCAGTCGCAGATACTGCTAACGGAGGAATGGGACCGTGGTGGGAAAGGACGAGGGCATCCTCCCAGCTGATCCTGGCAGCACCACAGCCAGCATCCTGCCCGTGGGAGAACCTGGAGAAAATCGCCCTCAGGGAGGTATTCACACCTCTCATAAAAACTTGACACTAA